GCGACTGTTTGCTTGTTCGAAATGGCCGAGCTGCATTACTGGCCTAGCTTTCTTCCGACCGGAAAATATATCTGGTAGATGTAGTAATTCATTAGTTCACAAACTGCAACTATGAGTGCTTGGTGGCTTGTCATCCTGCAGATGTGTTGGCATGCGTGAGAGTTATAAACGTCTTTTTGTTTGTTTTAATACATATATATATATATATACATTTATATATAATGGTTGAAGGTAAAGAATACAATAAGCTGCTGAGATTGATGAATAAGCACACAATCGACTGATTGTCGACGCACCCCACGTCGTATCTGATTCGATTCTATGAAACAGTCTACAGGACCATTGAGCGACTTGGCAGTGGATTAGTGTCACATGACCAAAGCAGGCTGAGCAATCACTGATACCGGGTTTCGGAAAAACGATGCGACTGCTTTGACTATAGTGAAGCCACGTGGTTGGATCAATACTGGGGTGGCTATAACAAACCAAGTGAATGGATGAATCTTCAAAGTCAGAGCTGTGTTTGCAAGTTGGCACAACTTGTGAGATCTTCGTGCATGCCCCATTCGGACTAGTACAAAAGCTAGAGGTGGACAGAATTTCACAAAGCGGAAGAAAACGAAAAATGCTACATAAATCTTGGGTGCCGTGGGTGCTATTTTTTCAAAATTGGGGCCACGTGGCCTTCTCTGAGCTTCTCTGGGGACATTGAAGGCTGACCGGTATCAGTGATGTTGATGCTGTCCGTTTCTATCTAGACTTGCCGACTGAATGTTGAGCAGTGTGCGCCCTGGGTGTTTGTTTTGGACTCACATCCATTCTCCTTCTTGGTCCAATTTTCGCCCTTCACCATCACATGGCTCCATTCGAATAGACTAACGTGACTGAACGATAGTTAGACAAGTATATTTTCATCTGATCTTGCCGTCGATGATGATAATGCTGTTGATGAAAATGGAGATGATGTTAATATTCCCCACTCAACGATGTCTGTAACCCACGTTGAACGAACGGCTAATTGGCAATTTGTTTGCAAAACATCTCATCACCAATCGAGTTGACGTAGTCATAAGAATACACCAATGCAGAGAGCCGCAACGCTGAGTGAGTATACCCGGATGGGAAACCGACCTGTTGTTTTCAACTATCCAAGCCCATCAAACGAATCATCGGCTAATCGGTTCCATCTTTTAGTAGGAGGCTCGCGCAGCATTTGACTTCTTCGTCTATTTCAGGTGCCTCCAACGAAAGCCAAACCGGTAGCACGACCCATTATATTCTTTCCACTCGAATCTAGGAACTAATATAAGCTGAAAGCAGACGAGTATTGCCTACTGTCCGCTAAGCAAGACATTTCAAGCTGACATCATAGAGAAATCTGAAGAGCAGAGTCAACCACAAAATCCAACGAGTTCTCAGGCTCTTCAGCAGGCCCTGATACCTTCGGCATCTGTTTGTTCAACTTAAAAATGCTTAGGAAGCAACACCAAAACCGGGAAACTGACTGGTGCCTGAATATTCAACGACGTGTAAATGCATCCAAAATATGACATCTTGTCCAGCATGTGAAGTGTTTCCTGGATCAGGTTTGACGGTTCCCGAATCTATCTACTTCTGGTGTGACAACAGTTTTACCAACTCTTACACTGAGCAGTTGCCTAAAACCGCCCCATCTGAGAGGTCGAACTTTCTTTTTCTCATACAAAAAAAAACAACATAGGGTCGTTCATCTCACCCGATCCCACCCAAATTCTAGACGCATTAGTATAAAGGGAACAATCATAAACCAGTGAATGCCATCTTACGGATTACCCTTAACCAGTAGGCAAAAAGATTCTTGAAGCTCCTGGAAACGGAACAACTATGAGTTCCAAACGTTCATCTGCCGCATGCCGCGCAATCAGCCGCTCGCTAGACCTGAAATTTGTTACCGTTGTGCGTAAATTAAACCATGGTTGAAGAGCCATTTTTTGCAGTGCCTAATGTAAATGGCATGGGTAATAAGTCTAGACAACGAGCCATGACCATGTTTAGCATTACGAAGAAAACGGATATACTGATGCTCTCTATGTTTTCACTTTCTCTATTCCGAAGCTCTGGGACACAAATCTTGCAAAAATAGCCAGCGCGTCGACAAGAAAATGCATATACAAACTTTCTGACTCTCCTGGCGTTCGCGAAAACGTATTTTGGTCTACCTCACCCCAAGAGTAAGTGTGCCCATTTTTACCAGCTTCATGGTTGTTCCGCATATTATCGCCAGGAAAATCCTCACCAGGTTATGTCACACAATCATTCATTTTGCATAAGTTTCCAATCGAAATTTATCCTATTGTGCTTTTGCGTAATCTAAACAGCCCCGTCGGCATATGGCATGCAAACCGAGAACATACGAAAGAGTATGACCTGGTGAGTAACGCATAATGTGTTGTTCATGGAATTATANGCATAAAAGGTTCACTTCACTATTGTTTCCATTAAAAAAGAAGCCCAAAGAAATATCTGAACGTACTCCCATTCTTCTAATCCACCGACTGTCAGACAGCCCGTATGTCTAACATACAGACGACCTAGTAGAGGACTAGGACCTTATCAGCGTGTTCGGATAGATTAACAAGCAAAGTAACCAATACAAATTCACAAAATCACAATAGGAAAGGAATGAGTAGTCAAATGAGGACTCACGAATGTGTAGACCCAATAGTCCACTACGCCGATCCAAATGCAGTAACTGACTGTGAGAGGAAATATTCCCTTGTCGGAATTTCCCACAGATGGTTCCGCATGCGTGATATATTCCAAGGTAGGAAAATTATTCACGGCGAAAAAATGTCACAGTAATTTACTGTGGCGTTCAACAGTTCACACGGATAAAGAGATTTGGTCCCACTGGTTCAGAAGTCAACAAACAGTTCGACGGAGCGTAAATATGCTCGTTCACAAAGAAGTCAGAAGGGCGCACCGGAAAATTGTGTATTCCTGACCGTAAAACAAACATCATGGTACAATGTGAATGACAGATAAAAGTGTGCTTTAAGTGCAGGAAGAATGGTAAATGTGACAAAGGATTACAGATATTAAAGACTCCAAGTTCATCTGTCCGCTTGTTTAAATGTCCATTAATCCATCCAACCATCCATTCATCGATCAATCCATCCATCCATCCATCAAACCATCCA